AATCAAGCCACTTTCAGAAGCAAAAGATGTAGCAGGCATCTTCTTTTCTAGGTGAGAACACTGTAGGAGATGGGGAAAGGACCTTTTTGTAAGAACAAAGGTATGATTTAAAATAAACAAAGAACCACCTCTGTTTGTCTCTTTTCAGTTTCTAAATGCCATCTAAGGTGATTAAAGAGCTGTATCCAAACTCTGATGGTATAACCAGCTTGGGGAACCTACCTCTTTCATTCCTTTGCAGTTTGAATGTAGTTCTCTTACTGGATACAATGTTAGTTATTACAGTGGTCTTTGGGCTACCTGGTTACTATATTTGGCAGCAAGTCATGGTTCTAATGTTCCATTTGAAATGAGTGGTTCACCGAACTATGTTGGGGAGCTGAGGAGGTTTGAGCCCTGGCTAGGCCTCTTCCCTGATCTTCCCCTAAAGAGTCCTAGATAGCAAATGGACAAGAATAGTACGGTCATGGTTATAGGTAGGGATGATATTTAGAATACTGAACAACCTGCACATCCTGGGTATCAACCAATCAGAATAGGTGTCCATCCATAAATAACCAGTATGGCCATCTGGGTACTCACAGAATATCAGCCCTGGCCATAAAGAGGTCAAGGTTGGTTTGATAAGGAGAAAAAGAATTTTGATTCTTTCTGAACTATAACTACCTGCAGAACTTTTTCTCTAACTTGTATTAAATCTCCACAAAGACAAAATACACATATATATTAAAAGACATGTCTGTTAATTTTTACAGAAAAAAAAAATCCAATTTAGGTTAAATAAGAGATGTGAAATATGTTTACAATCTAGGCAACGTCTACACTTGCAGACATTCTACCCAGAACTGCTGTTTAAATGACCCTACACCCCTACCCTTGCTACTGATAGCAACACTCATTAGCAAAAGCAACTTTTCCAATGATTTCTGAGTTTAATTCCCTTCATATTCTCCCTTGAGAGAACCAAGTTCTCCCTTTCTCTCTGTCTTCTGCCTCTTTCCCACATATAATTGTTTTTCACCTTCTTTCTTTTCTCGTGTTCAGTGCTTTACCACATGCATTCATCTCATTAAAAATTTCCCTCCAATTCATTGTGAGTCTCCCAGCCCCATCACTGATTATAATTGTATCAAGAAAAAAATAAAACATAACTGGAAAAACAATTAATTTAAAGGAAGAGTGTCATTAAGTCTGATGTCATCTTCATTCTGATTAAATATGCTTTTTTTTTTTTTTTTAGGATTTGGGTGAAG